CGTTACGCAGCCGTGAATTTTATTTTCCGCGGCATGTCAAATTCTTTCCACACATGTAAAATGATAAAGTAACAACAAAATATACAAGTATACATACATTATATCGAGAAACATGAAAAACGTGTTTTAAAAAATTACAAGCAACAAATGTTTCTATTATATAAGGGAGAGAGCAGAATCATTAAACTTAATTTAATATGATTTCTCCATGGAGAGTAACGCACGCTGCTGCAAAATTTCATATCGTATCATAACTTCTAGTAGAAGAGCCGAAGCGAAAGAACATTGATTACGCGAAATTTCGCCACGAGTCTCGTGACATTTTCCTACGGGCGCCTTCGCGATTCGCACAGTTTACGGATGAATTTCATTTCCACATCGTGAATTTTATTTTTCCTCTCAACTTTATTTCTATTATAAATTTTATTTTCGCGGCTCGCAAAACTGTTTTCTTGGAATTGTGGAATAATACACTCATACACACACACGCATGCACACGCGCAATATGTAAATATAAATGCGTCATAAATATATAGATGGGAAATAAAAATAAAACATAAATACATAGATGGAGAATAAAAACAAAATATAAATATATAGATGAAAAATATATTCGCACAAAGATACGATACGCACGATAAATGTTTTCATTGTGAATATATGAAAGCGACTATAAAGGATTATACTCACTATGAAATATTTGTTACGATTCGCTTTATTAGCTGTGAGATTAAACTTTCAGTTACATTAGCGGATGCGCGGCACATATCGCGCCGCACGCTCTCTAATATTATATACGATAACATCTCTCTTTCAATACATATTAAGCGTGATACCGCATTCAACGCGCGTCCGTGTTCATAATTAAAACTCCACCGGCGACATTAATAAAATGTCGGATTCATCCCGAGAGAATTACGCGAGGCGAGTTCGTGTCATCGATTAGTGTCGTTGGTTAGCGAGAAATAATTGCGACACACGCGATACGCGACGCGTCGCGTCGCTCTAGGTTTTAGTAATTTTTCATTATGACACCCTTTTGAAATTATATTTCTGTCGCGATAAAAAAGAAATATCATCTGTTTTGATAATCAATCTTTTTCTTGTATATATAAATTAGACTTACCTGCGACATATACACAGAGAGAAAGAGAAAACTTCTTATCTTTAATTCTCAAGTTTCCTCGGAGAATCTCTCGAAGATGCCGGATATAAGCTACTTTGTAGTTTTCCTTTGTGATAGCCGCAAGTTAAAAGTAGACCTTGGCGTGTAACCAAGAAAGTCTGATATTTCTAAATGGTAACGGGTTAGACAAAGATCACGAAATCATGGGGGAATACGAGGGAACTTGAACGAGTTGAAAATACCTCGCGAATTACGTGCGTGTTTTCGTATCGTGTCCGTTTATTTTCCTAAATCCTTCTATTCTGTCGTTCTCTTCTTTCGCACGATTACCTTACCGAGCGTACAATTTGCAATGTAATGCTTCCGCGACCGATATTGCACGTGTTTTTCGCAAGATTATCTCAGCAATTTAGCTGAATATCGCTACATTACGATCAATACTGTTACATATGTCTACAAACAACAAATGTAAATTACTATCAAATTACTAGACAACCGTAAAATAATAATCTAAAAGTGTGATACTCATAAACTGAACTTTACAGACAAGAAACTGCAATTGAATTTAATTGATCTGTTGCAACAATTTCCGTACAATTTAATTGTATGAAATATCGCTATATTATAATTTTTAATATCTACGAATATATAACACACATACGAATAACTATCAAATGACAATCAATAATATGACCGGTATAATTTGGAGATCTAAAGTATAGTGGTATATTTTATAAAATAAATTTTCCACTCTTAAAAAAAGATATGTTAAATCGATGCGCGAATGTATCAAAGTTCTCACGAAAGTTTCGAAATTTATTATTGCCTCTTTCCTATGACGCTGATTGGCTTCTCCGCTGTATTTTGTAAGCAATTATAATCATCGAGATCGGGTGTCGATAGTAAATAATTTTATGTGATTAAGTATAAATTTTATATCGGATGTCTTCGAAACATAAAAAAAATTGTAATACGCTTATTTTAAGCGATTTCCCTAAACTATATAATTTCACAGATTAAATGACATTAGTTCATCAATATATAATTATACTTTTATGCATCGACTATGACATTTTTTTTTTAATTTTAAGATTTTTTTTAGATTGAAGTTTATTAAATAATATATGGCGTAAAGAAATAAATGGCGAGGATACGCACTTTGTATAATATTCCAATATAGATAAAAACTGAAATTAAACTGTCGCAACAGTTTCCGTATTCTGTCAATACACAAACTTTTACCTTTAGGAAATAGATACTTTTCGTAATCTCACGTCACCATGATACTCTTGCCGGTCGAGGGATTGCTCGTGAAGAAATCCTTACGTAATCCTTCGTTTTCTCCCACCATCTCTCCGGAAAACTAAAGCGGAAACGGAAACGAGAACGGGATTGTGGTATATGTGAAGCGCATGTTAAAAAAAAAAGCCGAGGACTTTAATACAAAAGCTATCTTTATTCCTTTAATCTCATATCAGTCGTGAAAAATCCTTCGCTACATCCAAAGTACGTACGACATGTGCAGAATCGAATACATTACGTTATACACGGTAATACAAATCGTATTGCTCAATCGTTCGGAACATCGTGTGTACCTGAAACTGTATGCGTGTATTGGTGTGTAAGTACATAAATGAGTGTGTATGTGTATGTCCATATATGCAAGATTGTGTCTGCGAGCGTCGGAGAGACGTAACTCTCCGCGGGAGAGTTTTACGGTCGAGAAAAGGAGGGTGGTTTACATGGGAAAAGGGAAGTAAAATGGAAGGGGAGTATTGGGTGGTTTCGAAGGAGATCGATTCGAGTGTGGCTTCGGCCCTCATTTTCTAATATGTACACCAGTTCTCGATAGAATAGATCCCCCGGAGGGATGTTTACCATTTAACAGACGGGAAAGTCTGCCGTTTTGCCGTTGCTACCCTTAACTTTTGACGTGTATCCGACGGATGGAATTACGGGAGTTTCATCGGACGGCTGATTAATGCATCGACGTGTGATTACATTTACCGGAAAGCATCGTAGCGCATTGCGAATGCGAAGGAAGTTAATAGGACCAACCCCTCTTCCTCCTCCCTCCCTCTTCCTCTTCCTCGCGAGATTTTCCACGGCGTGAATGTTTCACCGCGCGAGTCGGCGAGTGGAGGAGAAAGCCGATTAATATTCACGACCGATCTCGGCACGTTAAGCCTTTATACGATGGAATTCCGCGCGTATGATTTCCTTGCGAAATTTAATTCGACCGATTTAACGGAGCAAAATTTTGTTTCACTGGGAAGTGAATATTTATTCCTCGTCTGCACACACTTGAAAATATTAAAAGTCGAAGAGAAGATTACGATACAATTTTTCTACGAAAAGAGAGATGACTTCCTCCATCCGCGTAGAATTTTTTTTGTGAAATATATTTCTCTCTCGTGAAATGTATCTTTGCGGATTCTCGCAAGGAAAATCTGGAAAAACATTTCGATACATTTTCACAAAAACCGAGATCGTTACTAAACAAGCCCGAGGTCACGGTGATTATAATTAGCGCGCGCGTGCGAGACGCGAAAAAGGACAAATGAGAAGTAAAAAGGGATCGATGGAAAAAGGAAAATCCATTTAATTCGGACGAGCCGCAAACGAGCGAATGCAATACCGCCTGCGAGCAAGATCGTTAAACTTTTGCTACTGTTTTTCTTGTACTCGCGTTTAACCGCTGCTTCGTCAATTCGACGAAAATAAATACGTACGAAAGAAGCGACAGATTGCGATGATAAATTTTTATCTACGAAAAACGATTTGAAAAAACAATATCGAAGTAAAAACAGAAAAAGAGTCAAAAATTTTCTAGTTTTGATTTTTTTTCCCCGGGAGAGAAATTGTTTCCGGTTATGTTGCATTTTTATTTTTCTTTCGCCGGATTTTAATTGACGCGAATAAATATGCATGAAGCACATCTAGAGAGATCTATGAAAAATTTTCGTCTATGAAAAATGTGATAGCAAAAAAATTGGCACTTTTTAAAGAATGTGGAAAATAAAATTCGTTTCGTTTCTAATCTTTTTAAACTTTAAACTATTAAACAAAATAATTACCTTCATAAAAAAAGAGCTCTTCTCTAAAAAATACATTTACATTTTCTCGTGGAATTTAATTTAATTTAACGGTATTATTTATTCAAACCACAGGCGTACGAAGTCTTTGGAAGAAGTTCTTTAAGAAGGTTCTTTAAGGAAATAGCGATTAAATATAACGGTGTATACTTTTAATTACTTAATTTCTGAAATACTTAGTACTTAAAACGCGATATTTAACGTTTTTACATTAATCTCACAAAAGTTTAGAAAAAGAAAAATATATTAAGTATCCATTTGTAAGATGTAAAGAGATGTTGAGAAATTAGATAAAAAATATAACGTAACATGTACGTATATATGTGTAACATTTTTTCAAAACGCTCTCGATGGAAAGTATTTTTCAACAATTTTCATCAAACTCGAATTTGATTAAACGAATATATTAATGCAATCGCTATATTATTACTGCATTTTTGTCAAAAACACGGCCTAATGGCTTGCCCATTCACAGCAGATTAATTGAAATTCGTAAAATTGACCATGCGCGTCAAAGTTATACTCGTTAGCGAGCTCGTTTAAAAAGTTCTAATTAAACGACGAATGCGATACTACCTTTGCAGAATTTCGTCACTGCGTAAAATTGCGTCCGCTTCTAAAATTCGATTTACAGAGTTTCGAAAGTTAACGCCCCCGAAAACATTATACAATAAAATTTAAATGTGCCTCAATTATTATTGGCTGATTTTTAACAGAAATTTTATATATAATTGTCTCTCTTTAAAAAAAATATTTCTTAAAAAAAATATATATGATAAGCCTCCTCTTTTAATAAAAATATTTGTTTAATTAAAAAGGTAATAATTTTAATTTCAACATGTTAGCTCTCTTTTTATTCAATTTCGCTTGTGAAAAAAAACGCTTGATTTTTAATTTAATTTAAAACGGTTAATTCTAACTAATTAGAAACGGACAGTTTTGATTTTTTGGCACATTAAAGGTCTCTCTTCTTTTCGTGTTTCAAATATTCTCTTCGCTTGAAATTTCGCGAAGGGTAAATAAATTAATACCTTGCCCCGAATGAAATATTGTTATATACGAAACTTTCGAAAGCGAAGACGCAAATTTCGAGTTATCTCGACGGCGATGCTTAAATGACGCAGACAGGATTCTATATCTTGCAAATCGCCAGACTGGAAGGCAAACACTGTTCATCCGTGAATCGCGTCGTGATTACGGCGACGGAAAGGAAACCAGTTTCCTCGTCCTCGGGTACTTCTGAAAGGATCCTCCACAGAGTCTCGATGCTCTTTCTCGGGCGCGTATTTGATTGCTTATGATCATTTGTCATCAGCCAATCAGCATTTTATAAATCATCATTATAATTTACGAATTTTACAAGTGTTATCGACTCAGTTTTTCTTCTCGTGCAGAAACAACATCAATCACAATTTCTATTAATTGTAGATCGATTATTTGAGAGAGCAAAGCCAGCTCGAATCGCAAAATTTCGAAAACATCTTTAAAAAATAACTACTTTCACCAGTTTTTGTTTCTTAGTGTTTTAGTCGCGCCATATAATGTGTATATATCTATCTGTGTGTTGTGTATGTATATATTTATATATACGCATATGTATATAGGTATACAGGGCGTCCCAGAAAAGACGTATACTATTCTAAGGAGCTGTGAGAGGAGCTGTAATCTGCAAGATTTTTCTTAGTAGAATATAAACTTAATTTTGTGAAAAAAATCAATGTAAAATAAAAACAATTTAGATAAATATTTAAACTTTTGAGAAATAAAATTCACAATATTAAATTGAACTACGTTACATTGAAATTTCTAATTCTTAAATTCTGATATTCTTTTAAAAGAAAAAAAAGATTTGCAAAATTAATAAATTATTTTCCAAGATGCATACATTTTTCGCTGACTCGATTCTGGTATATACTGCTTTTTCAAAAAACACCCTGTATATTCAACGGTATCTGTACATCAGGTCGAGCGCCACTGCGGCCTCCTAATCTCGCACAGTTCACCAGTCTTAAACACCAAGTTAACATTATTATCACTACAGCAGAATCGCTACAATTGCGTCTCCGCCTGGCTATCCAAGATCGAGAGTCCTCACACAATCAAAATAAATGATGTTTCGTAAGTTTTGTAAGTTTAAAACAAAGTGCTATCAGAGGATTATCTTGAGCAGTAATTTCTTAATCACAAGTATTCCATACATGCAACGCTATTGACAACCATAAATGATATCAAAGTGATCTAATGATTGAAGCGTACAGATCTCACTTCTATCATCCAAGAAAGAAGAGTTATATAAGTTTATATCTTTTCGATATAACAATAACCTGTTTAAGATCTTCCCAAAACAATTATAAGAATCGTTTTACAAAATATAGATTAAAAAATCATACAAATATTTTCTCAAATATCTATAAAATATTTATTAAAACAGGACAATTCTCTCTTCTTATCATTATATCTTTTCGATCCGCTCAACTTGCAATTACCGATTCATCGCAGACTTTAACGGTTACAGGATCGACATGAACAATTAAATTTAATTAATTTCACATTTTCTCAGCGGATCCTGTCGGAGTGGCCGCTTTGAGCACCAGTCACGTTTCTGCTCGTGCAACGCTAAAAGCGCGCCTTCGAGGTCCAATGAGACGCGTTTCACTCCATCGAGTCCGCCAAACATTTATCTATCACTTTAAGGATCAGTCACGCCATCTTGGTTCCTTTTCAACGCGACCGAACGTTTCTCCTTGGAGCGCGTCCAAAGAACGACGTCGTATTTCACAAACGCGACATGCCGTTTAAATAAATCCGGCCGCCATTTTGATGTCCGAAAAAGCACTCTCTGCATTTAAACGCGATCCGCGTAAATTCTTCGGAGTCGATTTCCTTCAAATTCGAGGATCGCTTCGCCCTAGCGCAAACACCTCCTTCGTCATCCTTCCTGACTGACAAGGATTGTGCACCCCGACGACATTCGTGACATGCCTTCTGATTAATCTATTACGTCTCTACCGCCAGGACGAATGCTTTGTTCGCGCCGTCTCTGGCGGCCGTGTTCCGCCAATCACATCCTGGACCCTGTTATCCTCCGTGAATTAATCTGATAACGTGACGAGGACAGATCTCCTCCTTGATGCCGGTAATTCGTATTGTTCGTAGCTTTGTTAAGATCTTCATGCTTGACGTTTGATTCGCGTGGAAGGAGATTGTAAAAATTTATATGAAAAGTACTTTGTTATTCTTGCTGCTGGATCAATATATTGAGCAAAAAGATAGAGAAGAGATATCTTCTTTCTTAATCCATAATGATTGTTTCGTCGATAATACATATGGAAACTTGTGAAATTTCATGTTAATTCATTTCATTAATTCCCAAATTAATGAAAATAATGAATAATGAATAATTAATTTTTCCTTAAATTAATTTTCTTATAAATAAAACGATCAAGACAGAATCAAAGATAATCGAATATTTATGCGTGTAATCATTAATTATTAAAATTAATTTGTCATTCCAAGATAAGAACTTTTTAGCAAAAATCAGGCAGTAAATGATAATTATTTCATTAAATTCCAAGAAAATATGTACATAATTGTGCATAATACCACCTTTTCTATCTTTCCACTTTCGAAGAAGTTAAACGGCAGTAGATTTTTTGCAGAAAAATCGATCTATCCAATCTTTTCTTCAGTATAAGTCCATAAAAGGTCCATAGAAGGGTAGATTCACAAAAAGTGAACGTCAATCTTATTCAACGATATACCAGAAACGTATCTTCCACGCTTTTCAGACCTGACGATTATTTCCCTTATCGCCATTGGCAATTTTTCAGACGTCCATAGCGTCTCCCACGTAGCCCTCGTCAGGACTCTCCGGGTGATTCGGTGGTTGCAGCTCCTCTGCCCTCGCGACAGCGGCAGCCGCGGCCTCGCGAGCGGTTTTTCCGAGAAGGGATCTCGGCGACAGAGGGGTGGTCTCGCCCCTGTACGCCGCCGGGGGTGACGGTATGAAGGGTACTTCCGGGAAGACGGCCACCGGCGAAACCGGCGATTGAATGGGCAGTTGTTGCTGAATCGGTTGCTCTACCGGTTGAATCGGCAGAGGCGGTGATTGCATCGTTGATTGCAGCGGCTGCTGCTGTTGCTGGTGCACCGGATAGGGATAGCCCTCAGCGGTGTACCTGGCGTCGGTTCGCGGTAAAACAGGGTCGTATCCCGGTGATCTCGCGAGGAACTCTGCCTCACGTGAATATCTGGCCGCCGGCGCAGCCGCCGAGCCAGGTTCCGTCATCCGTTGCCGAAGCCTAGGCAAAGTGCTGGCGGTGCTGAAAGAGATCTTGGGCAGACCAAAATTCAGCGGATAGCCGTCCTGATCTAGGTAGCTCATCTGCGGTAAAACCGACGGCGGTCGTAGATCGGGCTGCAGCGGATAGCCCGAGTCGTATTCGAAGATCTGTCGATCGGCAGCACCAACTCGCTGATGATGACGTCCGTACAGCTGACCATAACCCACCTCGGTACTTTCGGGCACCTCATTAATCAAATCTGGCTCGGTCAGGTATTTAGCGACCGGACTTGCCACCGGATACGTGTTTCTGGAGTGTTCCCGGTGCTCTAAAGTAGCCGCTCGGCTGATTTCTCGCTCGGTATACGAAACCATCTGCTGATGCTCTAAGCCGATCAGGCTGCCGTTACCCTTTCGGCAGGATCCGCTAGTGGTGTCTTTTGTGATTGGTAGCACCGATTTGCTCTGCGTCACCAAGGCTTTTGAGTTACGCTTCCGGTCGCTACGTCGTTTTTTCGCACAATATATCACGCTACCTATCAGACAACCCAACGCCAAGAGAGTGCCTACCAGTGCGCCCGCAGCTATTGCGGCTACGTAGCCGGAACCGGGATTGTCGAAGGGCGGCTCCACGGTGGATTTTTCGCGAAAGAGCACAAAGAGAGAGAGATTTGCCATTGCAGAACCTGCACTGTTTTCCGCAATGCAACTGTAAGTACCTTCATCGAGCGACTCGACTGAGTAAAGAAACAACGTGCTGCTCATGTTGGTCCCGCCTCGTTGTCGGTAAATATATCTGCAACCAATTCGGGAGAATACGGTTCAAGACGAGACAGACATATACAAATTCGAATCAAAGATCCAGGATAAAATCACTTACCTTGAAAACGTGGAAATGCTATTGACTATAGAATCATTCTCATTCTGCAACTCGCACGGTTCTCCGTTGAATGACCAGATGACTTTGGCGGCAGGTATCGCGTGAATATTACATGTCAAAGTAACATTACCGCCTTCATAAATTTCTAAACGATTTTGAAGATCGATACGGGGCAAGCAAGCCAATTCGCTAATCTTGAGACTCTTAATTTGTCTGCCGCGCAATCTTTCCGGAGAATCGCAGACTGGTTCAGACTGCTGCGGGGCTGCCGGAGCTGATTCCTTAAGCCAGGTCTGCATTATTCTCAATCTGCAGTTGCATTGCCATGAATTGTTATGAAGAGTCAATCCCCTGAGATTTCCTCCCAGTGGCAGTGTGTGATCAGGCACGTAGACGAGCTGATTGCCGTCCAGCCGAAGCCACTCTAGCGACTGAAGACCCTCGAAAGCGTCTTGTTCAATGATCTTTATTTCACACTTACTAATTTCCAGAGTGGTCAGGTGCATCAGATGACGAAACGCACCCTGGCGAATCTCTTTAATTGGATTTCCATTTAATATAAGTCTCATTAGACTTGGATAAGACGCAAACGTATCCGTTGGCACTTCCTCAATTTTATTCTCGGACAGATCCAATTCTACCAGGCCGACCAGTCCAAAAAACGCCTGGGAGGCAATCTTGACGATGTGAGACCTGCCCAAATAGAGCCGTTGGAGGTTAACTAAGCCGAGTGCGAGAAAACATTCCGCCGGTAGGTCGACCAACTGATTGTCAGAAAGGTCGAGCACTTGTGTTTCCTCGCGGGCACCCTGCGGCAATCCCCTGAGTCTTTCCCGCCTTTCCACTTGCATGCGCACATACTCGGGCAACCCTCCGCCGCGCCCGCCCCCCAAGATAGCAACAGCAGCAGCATCGTGCCGAGAAGGGCAGCCCATCGCCACCAGGCTGGTACGATTGAGCACATGATGCTCTTTCATCCGGCAATAAGCTTTCTCTCGTTTTCCTTCTTGTTCTTCTTCTTCCTTTCGCGGCACGATCGTACTCCTCCGTTTCTATCGCATTTTTCGCTGACCCACTAGCCACGTGCGCTGACCCTTCACCGTCGCTGAAGGGAGACTGCGGTACTTCGATCGAGCCAATGCAGAGCTGAATCCACCGTCGCCAAGGTGCATCAGCTTGCGGATAATATCGAAAGGCAAATCTCTGCAACAATAAGACAAACAAACCAATGAGTTACAATGCACTATGGATTACAATGTGATAAATGGTTAGACAAATCATAAATAAAATCCGGAATAATTTACGAAAGATTCAGCGGAATGAGAAATTCGTGCATTAAATACAAAAATTTATTCACAAGAGCAATAGATCCCAAGCAACCTCGATCTTAATGACTCCGCGCACGACGTGTTGTTTCGAAAAATGCCATTTCCACCCGCCTAAATTTTTTTATCAGCTCCGCGGTAAGCGCTGACAATCGATTACGGAACTTAGCCTCCCATGGGTTTCCCCGCAAACAAAAGAACTATTAGACTTCCCAGCTGGATCAGGATTTTCCCCCTGTCTAGAGCCCCACGGAAAAACACAGTCACCGTGGAAACTGCCGAATCCCCAGTAAGATGATCTCCAGGGAGTTCTCGATGTGGCGAGAGCGCAGGTTGAGGGCGGATAATAAATTCCATGAAGAGAGGGTGTGTATCCCAGGTGGAGGCGAGGACGTCGTGAGGAGAAACACTCCCGATATCAGGATATCGGAATATCGAGCGCGCTCGTGCGGCGCCGCATGCAAAGACCTTCCGCTTCTTCGTGGCTTTATCCCGACACAGAGGCCTTTCACCGTCGAGAAATGCAAAGGCCTGGAGGATATTGCCGATCTTGGACGTTTCGAATCCAATATCGACTGACCTCCCCGCTGTAACCGTGCGAGTTGCAATTTTTTCCTGCATCTTTAAAATCGCTACTGCGATGTTTCCCGGACAACGCAAACGGCGCGGATACGGTCTTGACAAGACGCTCGACGGTTCGTGTAATATCACGTGTCTAACTTGTATCGTCAAACGAATATTTCCATTTATACTAGAGAGAGCTTTTGCTTCAACTACGATACTTTTTTATTACTCATTATTAATTTCGGGATAAAATATAGAAAAATATATATATAATATAAACTAAACTCTCTAGTTGTAGGAACGCTCTGATTTTCTGGAATCTAGAAAATAAGATTCTGTATATTAATAGTAAATTTATAAATCAAAATTACGATTATTTTATCAAGTCACGTTCCTTTCAACGCGTGTTCCTTATCGTCGAGTTTTCCCCCCTGTATTATATATCTGGTACTGTGTAAATGCAACTTCGTATAAATGAGAAATCTGGTGCAGCAAGAATCGCGCGCAGGAAAAAACATGAAAAAGTAGAAAAAAACGACGGCGACACTAGAAGGTTCTCGTTCGTTGGTTCCTTCTCCACTTGTTTGCGCTCGTCCTCGGAATCGCGAGCTCGTTTAGTCGGCAACGTTTTCATCGAGGATGCGAATTGTCGAGCCCGGGGGAGAGTTGGAAATATCCGTACAGCCCGCCGGTAAACCGTCGGCATTTGCTTTGCGCGCGCGAAGGAGCTCCCTTAAAGGAGCGCCCTTAAAGGAGCGTTCTTGTAAAATTGCGTCTCGCGGCCGAGCAGTAAATATCGAATGCGAAACGGTGAAATGCGCTTCTTCACCCATCGCTCGAAATGGAAATGAGAGGACTGAAAATGAAAGAGACTGGCGAGTTGTGGGCGAAGGGACTTTTTAAGAGTTTTTCCTCGCAAATGGAAGAATTTAATATTTTATTTCAACTCGTTCTCGTCAGTTCACATCCTGCAATTCTCCTCTATTTCGTATCAACGATATATGTAAGGAGATAATCCGCGCATTTCTCTCAGAAAATATTACTACTAAGTAAGCCCTTTTAAGAGATCCTTAAAAACGGGATGAGAGAGTGACGTCTTCGATGGTCACGTTAAAATCGTAACGATAATGTCGCGATTAAATTTAGTGGTTGTGCCGATTTAAGCGCTATTTCGTTAATTGTTCCCGCCATTTGGCGAGAGGAATTTCACTCCCGACGGAGGCGAAATGGAAAGAAATACTTCCCCGGTAACGGAATGGAAGCAAGAGGCGAAAGAGGCTGGAAGAGCTAAACGGTGCTGAGAGCATCCATTCGAAATGGCGAATCGTCATTTTAACTGTTATGACTGTTATCAGCAAAGGAATAATACATTCGGGCGGGACAGTTGAAATGCCCCGTATAAAGATAAAAAACGGTTGAAATTCCGAGATATTCTGAATCCTCATCTGTATCATTAACGCGCACGATCAAGTGGAAGCGATTATCGATAGCCACCTCGTTACTCCGTTACTTTTACAATTTTTCCTAATGGATAAACTTGAATCTCTCGTTAAATTCCGCAAATTCTACAATATTATAATTAAATAACAATGAAATGGAAATGTGTACACTTTGTAACAATTTTACGGCGACTATCGTCGTATATCGCATGAGTACATCGTGATGCTTCGCGACTATAATGAATAGTCGGACGATTATATCGATTATATATGGCGCGGCATATCTCTCATTGTCGGGAAACCCCATGTCACATCACGCGTCAAACACGGAGGGGTAATTTAATTAACATCGATCCCCGCGTTTAATTACCGGGAAACAAGAGGGCGGCGCGCAAATAAAGAGACGGGCAATGAAGAAGAGAAACGTTGCTGAAACGTTATTCGAATAGGATCCGAATCGGATTTGAGTCCTCTTTCTACGGTTAGAGCGGCATCTTCGTCCTCGACTTACGGAACGCGGCACAAAGCCTCGAGGACGAGGATTTCCGCCAATCTTTTCGTCGATCCTCTTTCCCATCGACCGAGAGAACACGGACTTTCAAGCGGATAAATTTTGTACATTTCTAGGGACGGTCAATTACTTGTTTACAAGGCAATTTAGCCAGTGATCTCAGTAATAGAATGAAGATAAGAATGTGAGAAAAGGATAAAAATTAATATCTATCTCGATTGTACTTTTATGTTGCACGGAGTTACACAGAGCAATTCCACGTCGCGCTCTATTTTTATTTCATAAATGCCAGCGATGAGAGAGAACGTAGAACTCTCTCGTAAGACCTAATCTAATAATAAACTTGGCGGTATTGAGTGTTGCGCGAGCGAATATACAACGACTGAAATAAAAATTGCAGTGTGTAGTGCGCGCAATTGTTCCTTAAAGTTCCTCGGGACCCGAGACTCTTTCGACTCCTCGAGCGTGTTCGAAGGCACTGCGGCCTCTTATTCCTGCCTCTTCAGGCGAAGTAAAGGCGAGCAGCCTCTGGTATCTTCATTCTCGACTTACAGCACGACTTACAAAGACTCGAGTATCGAGTGGGCGAGTATCGAGAAGCGATCCCTTTGCCGATCTCGCGAACGTGGAAGTTAGCTGTTACGTAAATTCCTCGATACAATTGCTAGATACTTGATCAAAAATATAAGAAAGAATTACGGTAGAATGCACAAAACGCGAGTAGAGTGCTTTACGAGTTTTCTTTCCATTTTCTTGCGAATGTTTCCTGAAAAGAGAAGAGAGAGAGAGAGAGAGAGAGAGAAAGAGAGAAAGAGAGAAAGATTCCCGACACGAAATTTCTCGAGAATTAAAATTGGAAAACGCTCGAAAATTGAAGAGTGCAGTCAGGTGCATATAAATAGAATTTTATGTAAAATATACAGAGTGTATTTCGTAAAATGTGTGTTTTATCTACAAACTGTATATATTATTAGGCGAACAATTTTATTATCTTTCCTTTAAATCGCGGAAATATCGTAAAAGGTCCTTTCGTTACGAGAAAGCACCGGCTACGCTAATTCAATTAACTTTGATTCGCAGTTATTCCCTTGGCAAGTCGCATACAACGACGGGGAATTGTACTTTAATGTCATTCGAATCCGATCTAATCGATTGTTCGAATATAATAGAGTCGAAAGATTTCATCCTTATAGCTTACAGATGTAATAATAATAATCGTACGTTTGTATGTGTATGTGACACAGAGAATAGAGAAAATCACATATATTTTCTAGTCTCATATAAATATATTATTTAATTAACCTGTGTTATTCAAATTAAATATAATATTGCTTAAATATTACATTGGTTCTATTAATATTGTTTAATTTATATGTAAAAATCGCAATAGGTACATGTAATATTAGTTTCAAAAAAAGCAAAAGACGAAAAACTACATTGCGCGTTTTATTTACATTTTTTCTTCCAAACCCCGATGTAATAACGTCGATGGGATGATGCGGGAGATGCTCGCGTACTCGAAAGCCAATTTTTATGCCTCTTTCTTTTTTTTGTTAATGTAAGCCGCGCTCCAACGGAGAGTCTAGAATTACCGGGCGTTACGATCGATCGGTCGCAAATCGAACAGCGAATTTGATCCTTACCACCCTTCCTTTTGTAACGACCCTTCTCGCGGAAGCCTTTCTCTCGCCTTTGACGAGTTTGTCCCCGCGTTGGATAAACAAATTTTCAGAATGGAAAATTCTACCAAAAATTCGGACAGCACTAAGCCCCGTGTTGCGACAGGATGTTGCAGATTAAAGATCGTAGTATTTTCTCCTCTTTTATCAGTGAAAAATGATATCTTCTATTTTATACACACACACACACACACATATATATATATCAGGTGATTGCATAAGTTCGTGCCCGATTTGAATATAAACTTCAATAGATATATATATATGTATATATATATATATTATTATGTTTTTGTTTGTCAACTTGTCCATTTTGGCGTGTGATGAACGGATTCTCTTTATATCCGTATCAAATCAGATTTCGGACTCAATTCCGGGGAACAATCGTATCTCCGATTTTCATTTCCGGTCGAACAGTCCTCCATGGGAATCGACGGCGTCGAAATAACGCGCGGTGATATTTTTTTCAGCTCGCTCCGGCGGAGCACAAAATTACCGAATACCGTAATCGATGCGCTGCGAAAACGCGCCCCGACCGCCTCTACCTCCGTCTTTCGCCGAGGGAGATCTGGAAAGTAACGATCCCCGGGGCGCCGCGAGGAGCAACGTCTATTTTTCTTCCTTCCGCGAAGCCGGGAAATAGAGGGCCGAATGCCTCGTCGACGACAAGTCGCCGATAATGTCC